CGTGCGGTCCACGTGACAAAACGACACGTGTACGAGTGGGAGAGGGGAAGATGGAAACATAAGGGGGGTTGGAGGATCTGGAGATGTTATAGTGTGACGTTAAAGTCACGCGACATCTTTATTTTACGAGTTCATGGTTTTTGAGAAAATACACGGAGTTGATATCGAGACATGTAGTCCTGTTGTTTTATACCTTACAACATCGGATATGCATGGACAAGGTCTACAATTTTTATTAAGGTCATTTTCAGGTCAGGTCAAAGATGACGTCACAGGGGTCGAAAAAGTCAAAATGGCGGCGCTAGATATGGAGAGAGTTTTTCTCGAATAACTTTCGAATTAGTCAACATAGGAACAAACTAAGGGCATCATCGTGATCCTCTCGTCAATCCGCATCGAATGATATATATGTTGACCTCGAAAGGTCAAGGTCAAAGGTTGACCTCAGGTCACGTGACCTCGAGGTCATCATGTATATCATTCGATGCGTCTTGACGAGCTGAACACAATGAGACCATCCACGCGTCTGTATCTTGTTCCTGTACGGAGTTATTGGCCAAAAACCTTTGGTGACCTTTGATGACGTCACATGACCTCACAGCTGCCCAACAGCAAAACATACCTCAAGGTAGTGAAGGTTGATCGTATATGAAGTCATGTATGGTATATGGGGCCATTCCGACCCGTTTTAGTGGTAAAAATAGGGAGTTGATTTTTCCCCCATTGACTTATAATGGGGAGGTCGCGAAACTGACCTGACCTTAGGTCACCGATATCAAAATTCCGAGATATACAAATTGTACATACTGGTACCCTAACTAAAGCCTGAAGAGAAGAAATTGATCGGTCAAAAACTCTAGCTCTGGCGTGATTGCAAACTTTTCTGAGGTAGGGTCACCAAACCGCCTCTGGTGACCTGACCTGAGGTCAGATCAACTCAAAATTTTCAGACATGTTGCGTAGAAGCCTTTTAGGAAAAGTCAGTAAATTTGAGCTTCCTAGCTCAACGCGTTTGGGAGAAATAACCAAAAAACCTCAGGGGGGGGGGGCTCCTGAGGCCCCCCCCCGCCAGGAATAGGGTTAACTCCATACGGTCCAAGAAAGCTGGCACACTACCTTTAAAAAGTATTTCTGAGACAGATATCAACTGAAACTAGCTCACAGCGGGAGGAGACCGCTCAAACATTCAGAGACAGTCGGTCGCATCTAAACCTTTTGGGACAGCGATCCGCCAGAAACCCTCCCCAAGGCAGTAGTTCGCCAACTAAGCTCACCGAGACGGGCTGTCTCGATGGGTTTATCCTACAGTAAGCCCACAGTAAGGCTTAACTAAGGCCCAAACGCTCGTCAAGCTGGGAACGGAGGGCTGAGGTGAGGGAGTCGAGCAGCGGACTAGGGTGAAGGAATTCGGTGAACTGGATGCAGAAGCTCTGGGGGGGGGGGGGGGGCGTTTCTTTATTAGGACTTAAGGGTGCGCTGACTGCGGTAAGGTCCAAATTATCACACCAAATTTTACCACGACATCTACCGGTTCAGGCACTCGAGAATCAGCGGCCAGTGATATCTGCAAAGGCGAAGCATTTCCAACCCAGCTTCAGCCTAGTGTGGGCACCTCAGGTGGCTTTAATTACAGTTGCACATACCAAACGACCTCAGTGCAGTAGAGCACTTCACGGATAGGCTTTTTAGGATCCGGCCCGGCCCATATCCGGCAAGTCATATCCAGATCCGCCCATTATCCGCCTTTCTTTGAATATCAGAATCCGGCCCGCCCATGGCCCGTATTGCAGCCAAACTTCCAAAAATTATCCGTAATAATCCGTTTCACCAATAACTGGTTTCACCCAAAACTGGACTAACAAATTCAATCTAAGGGACCAGACAGCCATACATCTCACAGACCATCATGGTTCCAAAAACCATGCTTATAAACCTAAAACCACATGAAAATCACCACATTGGTAAACTAGGTATCAATTTTTAACTTCAATGTTGAATGTTAAAATTTTGATCCGTTTTGATCCGGGTTCAACCTTCAATTCCCAAATCCGGCCCGCCCATATCCGTTCTTTTTTAACAAATTTAGAATCCAATCCTATCCGGTCCGCGGATTTATCCGTGGATAACGGATTTATCCGGCCCATGAAGTGCTCTACAGTGCAGCCAGTCTGTCGCCGAAACCATTCGGAACAGACTTCAACGAAAAGTGAGACAAGGTTAGTGCTATCGTTAAGTGCCATTATAGACTTGGACCCCGTTGGCTTGACCCACTGGAAGGTGGTAGTTATCGGACGCTGCGGGGCATACTCATTTTTCCAAAATGCCTTAGATTTTGCTTTCGTGTTCGATGCTCTGTATTTTATAGCCAGCCTTTAGCCAGAGGGGGCCCCACTAATGATCAGTGCCCTAACTCTCAAAAGTTTCCAACGTTAATTTTAACTTATTTAAAGGGACCCTCCCACCTTCAAAAAAGTAAATGAATCGGCATGAAAGTGATGTCGCTCGGTTCAGAAAGGGCAAAAACGAATATCTACCAAATTTCATCGAAAAATATTCACCGGTTTTCAAGATATTAGACTTTTACTTTTGTTTACTTTTTGGGATCTCCGCTGTTCCTATAGCGACTTTATTTGAAAGTGCGGCATTTGTTGCGCGCAAAGCAGCATATACCACCGCGTGCTACAAAACGTTTTAGTCAAACATTTAAAAATCGTTAGATATCTGCGCTGACGTCACACATTCAGAGGGGTATTCCTATGCATTAGCCCCTCTGAATCAAAATGCTGCAATTTTGAAATTCAATATTTCCGATTTAAGGCATTTCTCGATGTTGTGAGTGCCGAAACCGGTAATTGTGAGCCAGGGACCCCATTTTGGCTATCTCAACTCAAATCTAATGTTAAGGTGGGAGGGTCCCTTTAATAGTGAATACTGAAATAAAGCGGATACTGAACTGAGTGAACATCCAGTTTTTACACTGGCCCCACACAAGCCTCCGAATGCCCAAAGCAGATTCTGATGACTGGCCTTTGGGTGTCATACCGTGCATTTGTCAATGTGGTCAATGTGTACGACCTCGGCGTTTACCATTTTACTTGCACTGAACTGTTGCGCTCGAAAAAATCAGGGGAGTGGCTTATTACGAGCGCTCATCAGTCCTAACTACCCGCAGGCGAATGGCTAGCCCTTCCGTCTCCGCTCGCTTGCGATTTGGCATTCATGTAGGTACAAAATAGCGGCAAACGACCACTGAGGGTGTGAGTTGCGTCTCTTGCACACTTAAAATATCTCTAAATCGAATCTGAAAAGACAAAAAATGCTATAAATCGGAAATGGTTAGCATTTACACATATTCAAAAGGCACCGTTGGACAAATTGTAGGAGTGCATAGCTGCAATATCAGGCTATGGAAATTTTCCTCATGTTTAGGGCACAAATTATGGAGGGGCAAGAATATACGTTTGTCCCTCCTCCAGAAGTTTCTTAGGGAACGATGCCTCCTCTGCCACCCCGTATCCGTCGCCCCTGTAAGCGGTCCACTGAAGGCCTGGGTTGCCGCTGCGTCACGTTGACGCTTATAATGTCTCTAAAACTAGGGTGAAGAGAGGAAAACTTGAATTGAACGCGAACACTTGTCATTTAAGAAAGGCAACGTATGATAAAGTATATGGGCATCTGGTTACATCTTCAAATGATCGAACAGAATAATCAGGTATATGTTTCTTGTCTAAGTTTTGTCACAAATTATGGGGGGGGGGCAAAAAGATACTTTTGCCCCCCCCCCACGAGTTTGCCAGGGGGGGCAGCTGCCCCCCCTGCCCCCCGAATCCGCCACCCCTGCTTTAAAAGGTGTAGAATTGACAGGGCTACAAAACTGCTATCTCGGATTTATTCGGATGAATTTATTCCCTATCACGAGTTAAACGTTAAGGGGTGCGCCTTGCCCCGGTCTACCCTAAGCCTCTCAGCAGCGTTACAGGCCGGGTCGAGCCGGGCCGGGCCGTGCCGCTCATACTGGCCGTTTTCACGACGGGCTATCCGGCGAGTGCACCTAATTTGACCAAATCTGCACCTAATCTCTTTTACAGCAAATAGCTTTATTTTATGAATTTATTTCAGTGTTTTAATCGATGATACTCTCTGATAATATGACAAAGCCGACATATAAGCAAATAGTGCAACCCTAGCTGATAGCTATTAAGAGACACAAGCCGTTTTCACGACGGCCATCTGGTACACATCGGGTGCAGATTAGGTGCAGATTTGGTCAAATCAGGCTCAGTGTGTCTCTTACTAGCTGTTAGCCAGGGTTGCACTTATTGCTTATATGCCTGCTTTGTCATATTATCAGAGATGATTATCGATGAAAACACTGAAATAAATTCAGAAAATACAGATATTTGCTGTAAAAGAGATTAGGCGCAGATTTGGTCAAATTAGGTGCACTCGCCGGATAGCCCGTCGTGAAAACGGCCACACTGAACCTAATTTGACCAAATATGCACCTAATCTGCACCAAATGTGTACCAGATGGCCGTCATGAAAACGGCTACTGAGATTTTCCCATTATATTGAAAAGACTCGCCTCGCGCTTCGCGCTTGCTCGTCATCACGAATCCGTGCGCCTGGGAGTTCGGTTGGCGCATTTTCACATATATGAAGAACTTCGTAAACTATCAAATGAACAAACACACAAACATTGTTCACGCACTGTTCACGAACAAATCTACAAACACCAAAGCCTAATTTTACATAGTTTGCAAAATATTTATGAATTGCAAACCTCAAACACTTGTAACTACAAGTTTTAAAGAAACAGGCCTCTGGTTGCATTTTTTTACAGGAGAGCCCAAAACTGAGTGACATTAATGACTGACAAAGTGGTGACTGTGAACGAAGTGGAGGACCTCATTCTTACAGATATTCGTATGATCTTTCAAATGATTAGCACTTCAATCGATCGAATTACCGGCACCCCACGAAACCAGTAAAAGGCGATAGAAATGTTGTATGAGCACAATATATGTATTGAATGTACGATCATTACACAAAGCACAAATGTCACAACATGAAGCATACTTCAAAACCAACAGGCAACACAATTAATTGAGCACAGGAATATACATTATGCAAGTCTATAGGATTGAATCGGTTTAGTTGTACCGTGGCCTGTAGCCGACGATGACCCTCTCGTAGACGGGCTCCCCAGCAGCAGCACTCTCCTCCTCTCCCTCCTCCTCCTCCTCCTCCTGCTCTCCCTCCTCTTCCTCGTCGTCGGCCACCTCCGGCGTGGGGTACTGGGTGGGCACCGGGGTGGGCAGGTGGTCGCCCTGCGCCTGGAAGCCCTGCTCGCCGGCCGAGTACACCAACGTGTAGGTGACGCCGTCGGGGGCCGTGTAGCTGAACTGGCCCGACACGCTGTAGCTGTCGTCATCCTCCGGCTGGCCAGACTCCGACACAGAGATGCCGTTCTCGCTCTCGAAACTGAAAACACAACGAAAACATGATCACATTTATGAATTTGACATTTATGAAAGCAATGGTCAAAATACGCAGCGCAAAATGATTTAAAAATCAAATGGTCAAATCAAATTCAATGTAACTCACGAGTGTTGGTAGGAGTGGTCGTCGTTGTGGTTGATGTTCTGTCGGAGAATTTCGACGATGTCCTGCTCGTATGAGAGCTCCGACGGGGCGGCGGCGGCCACGGCCAGGACGACGGCGAAGAAAAACTGGAAATGACAGATAGGCAAAAATTATTTTCAAAGTAAGAGTTTCCCATGACAGGTAAGTTGTTAACATTAACAAATTTCACTGTAGGTAGGTATCCCAATATCCAATGTATGCAATATCCAAGATCGCAATATCCCAATATGCAAGATGTGCGTGTTGCAAAAGATGCCTGATACAAATGCATTCAAATATATTAAAAGACACACAAAGCTTTCGGTTCATGGAACCTTGATCACTGTGCAAAAATGCACAGTGATCACATTTTTGCACAGTGATCAAGGTTCCATGAACCGAAAGCTTTGTGTGTCTTTTTGAATATATTTGAATGCATTTGTAAAAATTTGGTTTATTATTTACATCATCATCCAGCCTGTCATGGATACTCAACATAGGTATGCCTGATACATCTGACCTTAAGTTTCAATAAATACATAATTCCAACATTAAAACTATAGTCGCTCTTTCAAAATGTAATTCAAATAGACCACGCAGTAGTCCAGATTACTCACCAGCTGCATGTTTGGGCTGTTTGGGTGGAGTTGGGCGGGGAACTGATACCTCCCAGCCGCCGGTGACCGATTTTATACAGACCCGACGGACGGACGGACGGACGGACGGCGGAGACGTTGGGAAACTAAGGACGGAGGGACTGATAAGGTCGACCAGGCTGGAGTCATTTGGTTAGCCTGGCACATTTAGCCCATTGGCCAAAGCTTTTGACTTTGGGCTAAAGAAAATAAGTTATTGTAAAAAAAATAAGTATTTCGTTTCCATCATAACCTTTCTCCTTTCAAAAAATATGCTGAGACAAAATTATATTAATTTAGCCTTTTCAAACATACTGGCCACAGGCCTTCATCAGTGAAATATCCAAAATGATATTTCTTTTTTTGGATATTTTACTGATGAAGGCCTGTGGCTGATATATTTGAAAACGCCAAAACAATATAATATTGGCTCAGCATATTTTTTGGTAGGAGGTAAGGTAATGATAACCCGCGCCCGGCTGGGGGAGGCAGAATCTGCCCCCTCCCGTTTTTCGCCAATAACTTCTAAACGCGTTATGCCAGCGACGTCAAACTTTCAGTACCTTATCATACCTACATCAATTTGACACGTTCCCTGACAATTTGAGCGAAGTCCGTCAGAAAATTGTTGAGAAAATGACGTTTTAGTGACGTCATGTTCGCAATTTTCGCCTCAAAAACGGCAAAATTTCAAACGCCGCTAACATCTTCATTTTCAAAGGATTCAAGACGTAACAAAAAGGTTATGCGTGATTCTACTTTGTCTATCAAATGGCTATCTCGGTTTTGTGAAAATTTTGGATTTTGGCCGATTTTTTTCTAAAAAAACTGACTTTTTTGGGAAAATGATTATAAAATCCAAAATTTTGAGTGTATCGAAAAACCAGAATATATGTCAGAGAACTGCTCTATGTGCACCTACATACCAATTTTTAGAAGAATCGGTTCAAAAATGTGGAGTTATTCAAAATTTTATGACGTCACGACACACAAAATTTTCGAAAATGAATTTTTTGGAAGTTCTAGACCTCGTACGGAAACAAAAATAGCACCATTCGATTTGCCGTGAACAACTACATCAGATAGAGAACTTTTTAGACCTTGTATTGTATTGTATTGAACAATCATGAGCGATCCACATTCTGAAAGTGCGTGGTGATTACTGCTCAGAATCCGTATCCGCGGTTACTAATCTAAACATTCACAGCATTCACACATTCACTCACGTCAAAGCACGGACAGAGACACTTTCGTAGTACCACAGGTACATACAACTCACCCACCCACCAACCCGTTGGTCAGCGACGATCAGTTGATGCCCCTTCCACTATCGCGGCTTTAACAGATCGGGCAAAGGGGCCTTAACAACCAACTAAAAAATTTGACCTCACTTGACCTGACATCGACCTGAAATTCATCCAGATGTGGTCCATATCACTTATTGAGTGTTCCTATTGAATTCTATGAATAAAATTACCCATAAACATGTGTCGCACATGCCCTTTTCTATATTTCGTTTTTGGTGACCTGACCTGACCTTGACCTTGACCTTTGTATGATATTGCATGCAACGAATATTGTCTTGGTAGCCCAAGGACACGTTTTGGGCAATCAGTCTCAGTCCATTCTTCGGCAACTACGGTGCAACGCCGATACTGTAGAAACTTGCATTTTGTACCCTTGACCTGACCTTGACCTGACCTCTGACCTACTTAAGCAAAAAAATTTGGGCTCTTAAGATCTGCCTTGTTGAGAGCTTTCCAGTGCCGTTTTCCCCGTCTTTCTACGACCATCAGTTCGGAAGTTAGACAGGGGGGGGGGCAGAATCTGCCCCCCCCCCCCCAGCAGGGTGCGTATGGCTGAATAGCCCAGCGGGGCGCGGGATAATAAAAAATACTTATTTTTCACATTAATGATGATTCTCCAACAAGCACTTCAACAGATACAACTCACGAAAATGATCTAAAATGAACTTACTCATGAGTCCCGTAAAAAAAACTTCAGACATGTATAACAAATCGAAGTTGATGCCAATATTCGAAAACTGTTCCACACTTGCGCGAGTAGGTAAGCATACCAACTCAATAAGGTTCATTATAGTATCGAGCATTTCACGACTTCTTATCATTAAAAATTATCAAGCTAAATGAGACGACACATACCGCTGTGACAAACCTATCCTACTTGTAAACCTTCAACAGTGGAGTGAATGTTGTTTTTTCTTTTGCGCCGATCCTTCAGGTTTTTGCTCGCAAATATCTCAAGAGCACCCATATAACGCCTAATAAAAAAGGTTTCTTCACTCGTTGTGAAAATTACAGCCCTGGGTCACCAAGCACCGGTAAACTCACCAAGTCACGTGCCTTTAGGTTGAATCAGGTCGCATGTCAAGAAAAGGCAAATGATCACACTAGCTGCACAGTGCACAGATAGAACCTCGAAAACATTGAACCATTGGAACTTTCAGCACTTTAAAGGGTGACAGCCGGCAGGATTCATTAACCGCTTATCCGCTATTTGTTTAAATCAGTGAGAGGTCAGGTCACTACCGTCAGTGTTGTGACTTCTGCTATACCAGACTTAAAGAGAAAATTGAACTTTGGCTGGTTCGTCGTCTAATGGCTTAATAATCTACGCCTGACTCTAAAAAATATCGTTTGTTTGGTGTTAACCCGGCACCGCCTGGGCTATTTCCGTACCCACGACAGCCTGGGGAGGGGTCGGATCCGACCCCCCTGTTATCTCGAGAACCAATGGTCGTATCGAGCCCCGCGAGGCGGCGTTCGAAAGTTTTCTACGAGACCTTCCCAACGCACTCTTAAGATTTTAAAATTGAGGTCAACTTTCGGGTCAAGGCCAGGTCAAAGGTCAAATTCTGGGGTTTTGCAAAATGAGGCTTACGGACAGCAGAATCGATAGCTCGTGATCGAAACTCACCAAAAATGAGGTCAATGGCCTAGTGAAGATACCATGTGCGTATAAGGGTCATACTAAGCACGGGGCAAGGTCAGGTCAGGTCACGAAAGGTCACGGTTTTCACTTTCTGCTACGTGGGCATGCGACACATGTTTTATGGCTTATTTTTCACGCCGAATCCGATGGTTATGGTTATATGTACCTAACCCAAAGTCACTGTCCTGGTCATCAGCAAGCATAAAAAATCGTTTATATTATACATCACCAAGAAAAGTCATTTTTCAATGTTTTTATTTTTGACATAAAAATGCACTTTACTAGACGAGCTTTGTCCAAGGAATCTAATTCTGCCATTTGTTTTCACATGCGATGTTCAGGAGTGCCAAACTCACGAAAATGCGTTTGACGTCACCATGCCCTATACATGTTGGAGCTAATTTTTACAATTTGGGGGTCAAAAATCAAGATAGAAAGTTAAAATTTGGGGCATCTTATGTTCTAATATAGCTCTACAACATATATTCCGTTTTTTTTTGAAAATTTTGAAACTTTTGATTTTATTCGCTGTTTTCCAAAAAAAGAGTTTTTGAATTTTTAGGGGTCAAAAACGCACTTTATGGGAAAGCGAGATTGCCATTTTAAAGAACTCATTGAGCTGCGTCTTTTCATGTCTTTAATTTGCAATTTGCTTAAACCCTCGATTTTTGGCGATTTTTCAAACATTTACCATTTATGACGAAAAAAGCCATGTAGTTACATCAATAAAATCGATATATCTCAAAAAGTTTTTGAAAAAAATTTGCTTTAAAATTTGACAAAAGCCGTCAAATTGATGACGGAGAAGGTATACGAAGTTTCAAGTTGATAGCGCAAGCGGTTCGTGAGTTATTCGTGAAAAACGGAGGGGGGATCGGATCCGACCCCCCCCCCCCCCCCGGCGATCGCGGGTTAAGAATAGCATTACGATTAAGTTGTAATAACTAGAATCTAAATTCTGCTTTATGTAGAAACGGCATTGCGCGATCGGAGGGTATAGAGGGCAGGGTCAACGCAACAAGCTTCGCTTAGCGGGGGCTCTGTCCTTGTGAATCCTTCCAATCAAAAGGTTCGGACTCGATTTATTTAAAAACAAAATGTTACCCGAGATCAAATAAATCATTAAGGTCGAGTGAGTGTCACAAAAGATCACCAAGAGCTTACCAACAATGCCGCTAAAAAAAGACACGTTTGGGCGATAATAACATGTTAGATACTCTCATCACAATAATCTGGATCGAATAATAGGTATGAACAATTTATAATCCAATTTATCTTCCTTTAATTAAAGTTATGCTTGCCTCTAATGGGAATAGCTAATTATGCCAGCCATCATTAAGCACGCAAAGCACGGCTTGCCGATACCTTTATCGCACTCATGCGTGCGTCCCACCGTCATCTGAAACGTGGAAGTGCTGCACTGTTGCAGTGTTCGTAGCTACCTAACGACCACAATTTCCTTCCATGTGGCCGACTGTCCACACCTTGGTCCACATGACCCCCCCCCCCCATATCTCCGTCTCGTCACTGGCCTCCAGTGTCCTACTAGGTGTGAGTCAACCCCAATTAGATAATTTGGCCACAGCACACAGTATAACGTTGATCAAACACGACACTGCTATCTGTTACCGTCGGGCTGGTTACCCCACAGCCCGCCTCGTTACGCCATGGCCCCTGTCCAGGTGGGCCCCTGAGGTCGCCGGGCTGTCACATTGCGCTGGGGGCGGGAGGACCGGCCGACGAACCTTGGCCAGGACAGTCTGCTAATGTGTGGTCACCGACCGGGCTGTGGCGGTTACCGGGACGGGCAGGTCGGACAGGACATGGCATGGCAACAGGGCAGGGTAGAGCATGGCGTGGAATACCGATGTTGAACGATATGGACGGCGGCATAGGTCAATCAGCAAGCCAAACGGCGTATGCACTAGCAATCATAAAGACACTGCTTTTATCGGCTAATCAAACTGTCTGATGACCCGCTAAAACGACATATTAGGAAATTATATTAGACTAGCCGTTTTCACGACGGCCATCTGGTGCACATTTGGTGCAGATTAGGTGCAGATTTGGTCAAATTAGGTTCAGTGTGTCTCTTAGTAGCTGTCAGCTAGTGAAATAAATTCATGAAATGATATTTGGTGTAAAAGAGATTAGGTGCAGATTCGACTCAAATGGTGCACTCGCCGGATAGCCCGTCGTGTCTACTATAACGGGCTAATACTCGTATAGTTAGATTCAGGTCGAGTGTCTTTTTTCGGAGAGACGTCAAAGGTGAAGCATACAACCCGCCAATACCTTTTGTAAGAGATCGATGAGTCAAGGTTTTCAAGCCTTCAAAATGCCAGTATCCTGTGCTAAATTACTTCATTACTGACCCTACTTAGTATTGGAAACAATTGGCAAGCGATCCAATTTTCGTGATCCGTTCAGCGCCAATCAGTCCAGGTCAAATTTCAATGCGGAAATCATTTTCCATCATAACATCTGAACATAAAATGTAGCAATCAATATCCTTGCTTGTTGCTATTTTGTTGCAATGTTCACTTCATAGCGAGCACTTTTCGAAACTTTTCGATCAAAATCAGCACAGCTTTCTTTTCAAACATTGATCAGAAACGACTACAACACACGCTCCTCCCGTCTAATAAGGGATGAAACGGCAAACATTCGGTTGCACTTGCATCAGATATCTTAGGAATTACACACCTGAGAGCCAGTGCTCCTGCAGCATGCGTAACTACCAGCTGCTAATAACGTCACTTCATTGGTGAAATGTTTAACGGTCCATAGGTCTAATTTCCATTCCATTCCCGCCTGTCCGCTATGAGCGCGACACTGACCTCGCCGGTGCACGCGTCTCGGCGCGGGTCTCCACCACCGGCTGATGGCCGTATAAGAAGGTGAGGTGACCCCCGGACAGCATCAGTCACAGCGGACAGTCGTCACAGGCACAACAATGAAGCTGGTGAGAACAGGGAAGGGTGAGAAGAAAAGGCGCACAGCGTGAACACTATCGTGAAGCCCGTCCAGTGAACAGGAAGAGTGAACTTTCGTGAACACTGAACAGGATGTTCGGTGTTAATACCTAAGTGTTAATAGGTGTTAAGACGTAAAAAGTAATGTTACAGATATAGATTGAATAACATATCTTCAACAGATGTGCTCAATGCTATTGACAAACCCATAAAGGATGACTTTTCGTCACCTTAGCGAAAGAACGATTTGTCTGTATGATATAATGAAACTTGATTTAGACATTTCCCGCCTTTCAGTTCATTTTCACCGTCGTCCTGGCCGTGGCCGCCGCCGCCCCGTCGGAGCTCTCCTACGAAGAGGACATCGTCGAAATTCTCCGACAGAACATCGACCACAACGACGACCACTCCTACCAACACTCGTGAGTTATCATGGAGTTTAAGAGCAACACATTAATTAACCATTATGTGCTACCTGATTATCAAATTTACCCTGAAAATAGCATCAAGCTAATCGTGTTTTCGTTGTGTTTTCAGTTTTGAGAGCGAGAACGGCATCTCTGTGTCGGAGTCTGGCCAGCCGGAGGATGACGACAGCTACAGCGTGTCGGGCCAGTTCAGCTACACGGCCCCCGACGGCGTCACCTACACGGTGGTGTACTCGGCCGGCGAGCAGGGCTTCCAGGCGCAGGGCGACCACCTGCCCACCCCGGTGCCCACCCAGTACCCCACGCCGGAGGTGGCCGACGACGAGGAAGAGGAGGGAGAGCAGGAGGAGGAGGAGGAGGGAGAGGAGGAGAGTGCTGCTGCTGGGGAGCCCGTCTACGAGAGGGTCATCGTCGGCTACAGGCCACGGTACAACTAGACTATCAAATGTTCATATTCCTTTCACGGGTACTGCGCGTCATATGTCTTAGTTGCGCCGATTTTGACGGCGTTTGTGTATAATATTTATGTGTATCAAGTGTGTTCATATGTGTAATAGTATTGTTTTAATAAATTTGTATGCCGAAGCTAGAGTGCGGTGATCAGTAAATGCCTTGGTTAATATTAGGCTGTTCCGCGCGTCAATAACAGACGCCGAATAGGGATAAAGTTCCCACTGAAAAACACATATGTTCAAGCGTTCAGTGGTTCAGACAGAGATATTTATCTCACACGAAAAGTAGGGATCCGTTCGGATGCTCGTCTGAAATTCAAAACAGATATCTAAAAATGCGTTTTTGTGAAGGACACATCACCATGATAACTCGACGTTTAACAATCCATTGCTAGTAAAAGGATAGCTAGTTGGGACAGCATGCAGCCTCACCGGGACAATGTCATTATGCAACCGATATTCTTCCAAATATATATTTACGATTTTGTGTGAATACAAAACACATCCAACGTAGCCGACCAATCAAAATTACCCGCCCTTATTCTTGATATTCTTGTTATTTCAGTCTAGATAATCATGGCTTCATAACGTGACTTCCAAGGGACAATTCATTCAGAATCACGAAGAACGTGGAATACGAGGAATATTCAGGATCTAACCTCCAAAATTATTTTGCCCTATACCAAGGAATCACTGCATTGAATAGAGTTCAATAAAATTCACTAAAGGGTGATAAAACTAAGAAAGAACGGATTCAAAGCGCAACCACCATCGATGCTCCTGAACTATGTTGGCACCAAGGAACTTGGTTCAACCAAGGCTTCAACATATCCGAAAACATTTTTTCACAACTTTTCGGCCATATTTTCTCCACATTGTGCATTTGCAGTGAACACATCACATCCATAGCGATTCAGGCGCTTCAATCCCGTTGATTTTAACGTTTACCGGATCATACATTTGATTCATGAGTGTAACAAAAAAGATTAGGCCGACGATATCTACTTCAAAGATTTATGTAGAACTTTTTTCATGAATGAAAATAACTATACGGTGAAATGAAAATTCACCAATGACTTTAATTAGCAAAAAAAAGCTTAGGAATCTTGCCAACCATTCCTTATAAGTACCTGGGCTAGGAATTCAACGGTTTGAGAGGTCGAACTACCTCACTGCAAGGAAATAATCATCGATGCCCGCAGACTCAACCTTCGACGCCGGTTATTTGTCTTCTGCCTGTCTAAAGCTGGCCTATAGAAGGTATCCGTCGGGCTGGCAACCAGTGACTTTCAGCTATAGGACCACGTCCATTGTCCATGGCAGAGCCATAGGCGGATCCAGAAAGGCGGTCTCAAACGCTGCAGGAGCATACCATAAAAAGTTATCCCAAAATCTAAAAGCTTCTCGGATGTCGATTCCTTACGCACTGCTCAGACTTAAAAACAAACCTTTCTTGTAAAAAAATAACATTTTTGAAGCTCTCTTCTCAAGAAAAACGACAACTTTCCTCGATTTCTGGCGCTGCGGGAGGCATTTGCCCCCCCCCCCCCCTGCATCCGCCAGTGGACAGAGCTAACACACATTCGTAAAAAAGATGATAACGTCATCGTTCAGCTGAAAAAAAAAATTGGAAAGTGTGGGGTAAGATGGCGGTTACTCTGCGACAGTCAGCCTGACCGATTGACGCTTATTAAACCTCTACGATTTATATCATCACACACGGCATCAGTCTTACATCTTTTAACACTTAGGAAGATAACCCTACACAAAGCGGCCAGAAATCGGCTCGTTTTCGAAACAATGACCTTGCGCGCGAGATGAGTGGCGCAAGCGGTTCCATGCGTCTGCGACCGTACCGGGCGGCCGGACGGTGTGGCCTCTGCCGGTTCGTTACCTCGATTCCAGTCGGACCGTGACATTGTCACTGGGGTGTGGACAGAGGATGGGGAGGGGTCAGAGGTGCGCAGAGATACGAAATGCTCGATAATTCGAAAATTTTCGAAAATCGAGCAGGAAAACCTCCACGATTGTACCTATGTCGGCCGTCGAATGGTTAAAATACAAATCATTGACAATAATTAATCAAAACAGGTAGGTTTACAATAAGGTAGAAAGTGCAAATAAATCCAGTTCTAACCCGCGCCCCGTAGGGGGGCCGAAACGCCCCCCCCCCCTGTCCTTTTCCGTCGATATCTCCTAAACGGCTGCAGATATCGCCACCAAACTTTCAGGACCCCTCCGGGAATCAATTTTACACATTTAGACCGAAAATTTTTCCAGAGGCTATGATAGGTTAGCCACAAATGACGTCAGAATGACGTCATGTTCTGCCATTTTCGACCGAAAAAAGAGCGTCGCGAGAAGAGCTGTCAGGCCTACAGCTTTGAAGATACAAAAAATGATCAAGACATATAAGGTGTAGAATTGACAGGGCTACAAAACTGCTATATGGGATTTTTGAAGTTTTTGTATTTTGACCCACAAAAATAAAAAAGTAATTTTTTAGATATATTAGCCAAAAATCCAAAAATTTTTTGAGTTTCGAAAAAAACCGGAACATATATGATAGTACTTACCGTCTTCTACATACATACCAAATTTCAGATCGATATCTTTTTTTTGTTGGCCAAGTTATAGCGAAAAAACTATTCAAAAATGGTGACGTCAAATTTTCAAACTCAATTTTTGGCAATTCTAGTCTAGAGCACGTACGGCAAAGAAATACCACCATTAGACTCCCCGTGACGAGCTGCATCGATTCGATACCCATTTTATGCAAAAATATCAACTTTGAAATTTGACCTGACCTTGACTCACCTGGTTGACTCACCTGGTTGGGTTCCTCGTCACTACTGTAGAGTCAGTCATGGGCGAGAATAGGCGAGTGTAGGAAAGGACATAGGAACCCCTTCGAAGAGACGCGCCAGACCGAGAAGTAGGTATGGCAGTGCGTCAAGCCAGTGGTATCGCCTGGGCAAGTGCGTCTTCCAGTGAATTGAGCAGAGTGAATATACAACCTTGACGAGACCTTCACCAGAACGTAACCTAAACTGGCCCCAAAGGCTACCTGACCTACATAATCGCATTTTTTCATGTAAAATGGACCATAAAACATGTATCACACGACACTTTCATATTGTGACCCCCCAGTGACCTGACCTCTGTGACCTGACCTGGTATCAGTGACCTCAGATAGCAAAGTATGTGTTTTACGAACAATGTACCATCGATGGTTTTCAATAACTTACCAATTTACTCGATTTCACAACACATTTCTTGAAATGCTTGTGAACGGTGAAAATCCGACCTTTGACCTGACCTGTGACGTCATCGGTTTGACCTAGGTCAATGAAATTTGGTCGCAAGGTAGTTCCGTGGTAGGGCTATCCAAAGCCGTTTGAATTTTGAAAATCGGCCGGTAAATTTCCGAGATCTTAAGGGCCGAAACGCCCCCCCCCCCCCCTACGGGTGGTAGGGTCCGCCGATAGCCCTACGGGGCGCGGGTTAAAGCTCTTCATGTCGCAGGTTAAAAAAATGAAGAATTTCAAATATGTATGTACCTTTGAAAACTTATTTAAAATAAACACGAAACTGACAAAAAAAAAAAAACTCGTCCGATACAAGTTCTCGGCATATGTCAAATTCACCTCCGACACAACACACATAACTAGCCAAACGAACAGTCTAGTAAGTATTGGTTAGGTATGTACATGAAAGCAGTTATATTTTGTTGACAGAAGTTTTAAATTACTCGAAGTACCTAGATTACTTCTCAACGATAAAGAAGAATTATAGCACAAGTCACCCTTCACTCCAAGTCTGAACTGAGGAAAAGAATCATCCCAAACCGCACGACCCCAGCCATGTCACCTTGAGAGTGCACCTCTGTCCCCTGCGTACGGTGCCGACGAACCGATGTGGTAACGAGAGGTATAAAAGGAGCGCGGAGACCGGGACCAGTATCAGTTCACCACTGCCTACTTCCAAGACGCCAACATGAAGCTCGTGAGTATTTAATAGTCAACATAGGGCAGCTGAGAGAAATGGAAAAATAAAAAAGAGACTCAAAATCAAAGCTGATTTATGAAAACCAAGAAAAATGAGCCTTTTCCGACACTTTTGTTTTTCATTGATATCAAAAGCGTAGAAAGATCCGTCCATGGTTCAAGAAGACCAATGCTGATAATATCAATCATGTGGGCTTTCAGTGCTCAATGCTCGTGCACGTAGTAGTCAGTATAAAACAGCTTTCTTTTCGTTATTTCAGTTCATTTTCGCCGTCGTCCTGGCCGTGGCCGCCGCCGCCCCGTCGGAGCTCTCCTACGAAGAGGACATCGTCGAGATTCTCCGACAGAACATCGACCACAACGACGACCACTCCTATCAACATTCGTAAGTTATCACGGAGTTTAAGAGCAACACATTAATTAACCATTATGTGCTACCTGATTATTAAACTTTACTTTTAAAATATCATCAATCTAATCGTGTTTTCGTTGTGTTTTTAGTTTCGAGAGCGAGAACGGCATCTCTGTGTCGGAGTCTGGCCAGCCGGAGGATGACGACAGCTACAGCGTGTCGGGCCAGTTCAGCTACACGGCCCCCGACGGCGTCACCTACACGGTGGTGTACTCGGCCGGCGAGCAGGGCTTCCAGGCGCAGGGCGACCACCTGCCCACCCCGGTGCCCACCCAGTACCCCACGCCGGAGGTGGCCGACGACGAGGAAGAGGAGGGAGAGCAGGAGGAGGAGGAGGAGGGAGAGGAGGAGAGTGCTGCTGCTGGGGAGCCCGTCTACGAGAGGGTCATCGTAGGCTACAGGCCACGGTACAACTAAACTATTCATTGTCCTTTGCAAGGCTTCTGCGAGTCAGTTTTATTTGAACGCCGAATTTTTATGCGTTCGATGGTCATGTTCATGTGTATTGTGTAAAATGTACTGATTGTTAAGCAATAATACAGTTTGTCACGTAATCCGATTTTAATCACCTCCTTAATTTAGCCATATTGCCATTAGTAGAGTTGCCAGCGACCTGTAAAATTTGCACAACGCGGCTGAAATATGGCCCCGGAAAAAAGCCAATCTTGCAGGGGAAAGAGGCAAAAATACAGTACCTAAGGTCCCTCCAATGTCCAATCCAATGTCCAATCCAATGTCTGTCAAGACAAGCAGCATTAAGCAATTTACGGAGATCGACTAAAAACTGGTTAGTCATACAAAACACCAGTGTGCAGCAAGTCTGTAACCGAAACAATTTGGCAGTGCCCCAACCGTTGACTTTCAGAGGTCAAAGTGGCTGAAATGAAGCTAGCGCACACATTGCTCCAACAGACGGTAAATAACTTTTGAAAATACCTATCTCCAATTTTAGTGTTTTCTGAACCAAAATTTTGCGAGGAATGCGATTGTGTGGTCCCTGAAATCTGAAAATTTTCCATTTAGGAGATAGCACCTATTTTTTGAAAAGTAAATATTCGTCATGCACAAAAGTCAAATAAATTGAAAATATAATGAGTGAATATTTATACTAACACTAGAATGTATCGAACATGAATTAGTGATATATTTTAGCTGAGATGATACTATATCTGCTCATACATGTACATGAATTAGTAGGGGAGAGTGGGGCACATTCGTGCATGGGGCACATTCGTTTTCAGCAGTTATGGGAACACGAGTGACTGCACGAGCTCAAGGTAAATTATGGAAATATGTCTATCATTGCCGCCCTTCGTTCACCGTAGAAGACAACACTGTACATGCTGTCATGCTTGATAAAAACGCAAATTTGTAATATTCGTGAGCTTTCCAAACTTTTCTCATATCATCCATTTTCGTGATCCTGACTCGGAAATGTGGTTCAGCTTTTCAAAATTGGGGGTGAAGAAGCCCACTCTATTCACGGAACTGCTGCAAACTTGTTTGTTGAAAAAGTGTCATTTTTTCAAAAAGAAATTTTGAAATATATTACTAATAACGTTGTGGGGCAGGTTCGTGTACGCACTGCCTGGGGGCACATTCGTGCATATTTTTTTTTTTTAGTTTTTGCGATTTATGACTTTATCTGTAGTAGGTTTCTCTAATGACGCTCGCCTGACTCAGTCTCGACTGCTTGCGACGTCGTGACGAGCAATTCACGCGAACTTGGCGAGGTCACGGAGGCCGGCAGTTGGCACATTCTTGTTGGCCAGCCCATTCTTTCTACATTTGTTGTGCAATGCATTCTTGTCGAAAGGAATCAAGTGAAATGACCCCCTGCCAATTTCCTTTGGTAAATTTCTGGTAATGCCCGGTAATTTCTCGAATTTTGCCGGGTGAACGGAAGTGCCCCATCTCTTGAACGAATGTGCCCCATAGGTGGGGCAGTTTCGTGCAAATGTTCAGAGTTAATAAAAGTCATTTTTTCTAATGGAAGCAATAATTTTATAGGATAACTTTTAAAGAGGAAAACTATCTGCAATAGTTCCTTTCCATACTACAATCAACAATTTTGCCATTGCACTAACCAAAGAACAGATATATGGGTTTATCCATTTTTTGCACGAATGTGCCCCACTCTCCCCTACATTAACCCTCGTCGGCCGAGAAGGGGTGGGGCGGATGCCGCCTCATAGGGGTTTTTCGCGATAGCTCAAAACACGCTGAGGGAAAACAGCTGAAACTTGGCATACCTAATATTTTATTCAAGCTGGATCTTTTGACACCAACTGCGTTTTCAGGTCAGGTCAGGTCACTGACCTATGACGTCATAAATGAACCTCTGCACGGTCCTCAGAAGTTGCAACTTTGCAACGCCCTCAGTGCCAGAGGAACTTTCACAGGAAGATGAAACTTACAGGACGTAGTACCTATGCTTTAGAGGTCTCACAAATTGTATATCTCAGATTTTTCCCAGATGTCACATGAGGTCAGTTCGGTCACGTGACCTCACCATAATAAGTCAATGGAGGGAAATATGAAAACTGTTATTTTGACGCCGGAAATTGTCTAAAAACTGTCCCAAGCACATGAAATCGTGGTTTCATGCACTCTTTGTAAGGTCCGATCATGAAACCACGATTTCATGTGCTTGGGATAGTTTTAGATCATTTCCGGCGCCAAAATAACAGTTTCAATATTTCCCCCATTGACTTATAATGGTGAGGTCACGTGACCGACCTGACCTCATGTGACATTTAGGTTAAATCCGAGATAAACAAGTTGTGAGACCTCAGAAGGATACTACGTCCTGCAACTTTCATCTTCCTGTGAAAGTTCCTCTGGCACTGAGGGCGTTGCAAAGTTGCAACATCTGAGGACTTCGCAGAGGTTTATTTATGACGTCATCGGTCATAGGTCAGTGACCTGACCTGACCTGAAAACGCAGTTGAGGTCAAAAGATCCAGTTTGAATAAAAGATTAGGTATACCAAGTTTCAGCCGTCTACCCTAAGCGAGTTTTAAGCTATCGCGAAAATCCCTATGAGGCGGCACCCGCCCCACCCCTTCTCGGCCGACGAGGGTTAATGTACTAGTTCATGTACATGTATGCGCAGATATAGTATCATCTCAGCTAAACTAAAATATATCTCTAATTCATGTTCGACACATTCTAGTGTTGTTACAAAAATTAACTCATTATATTTTCAATTTATTTGACTATTATGCCTGACGAATATTTATTTTTCAAAAAATAGGTGCTATCTCCAAAATGGAAATTTTTCGGATTTCGGGGACCACACCATCGGATTCCTTGCAAAATTTTGGTCCAGAAAACACTAAAATTGGAGATAGGTATTTTCAAAAGTTATTTACCGTCTTTTGGGGCAATGTGCGCAGCGGCCGAGTGCCGATACGCGTGTGCATTCCACCAAGTAAAGCTCCTACATAAACTGACATCAACCAACCGTTCAAACCCCACATTCCAAATTGATAACCATTTGACATTGCACAGTGGCCCTTTTTCAGAATTAGCACGCATTAATTCCCACATTACCTGAAAGTGGTGCAAGACATCACCACGTGATCAAGGAAGCATTCCCTGCCAATGCAAAGAGAAGAAAAGAAACAAACTGCCCAAGGAGATTCGGCCCAACAGCGACAGGCCGCTCGGCCCAAGATTTGGCGCACGTTCGCACGGCTCGCCCGCCGGCCCAGGCCGCTCCGAACGCGAGTGTGGCGATCCCGCCAGCCGACCGCGTTGCACTTGCACTGACCGCCAGGACGCCCCAGGGCGTCACGTGACCGCATCTACAGCTGTTGCCAGCCACCGTTAGTCGGCCCCGGCCGGGCAGCAAGTAAGGTCAGCGCGACGCGAACAATACAAACACATAGGCGCTTTTGACGTTAGATCTTAAAGGTAGTGTGCCACCTTTGAAAGATTTCCCATTTTATTTTTCCTAGGATAAGAAGCTTCTGTTTTTACCTAATATCGCAAAAAAAATCACAAATGGGCCTGGAATAGTGCCTTTTTCGCCTAAAAGTTTTTCGGTTTTTAGATATGTATAACAACTGTAGTGGGCTCACCTGCAAACAGGCGTCGGGCAACAATCGCGAATGCGGCGCACTTGTGACAATAAGCAAAGGTCATTATAGTGTTACGACCATACGACGTACGGGAATGAGTTATCAGCTGTCTAATCGTAGACAACACAATGTCGAGCCTTAAACTGTAAGACCGTATTGTATTGTTTCTTTTATTTGGCTGTCGAACATTATTTATGGTTTGAAATATGATTTTATGTAAAATAATTGATATGAAAAAGCCGTCTTATAAGTTATGACCCCATTTCACCACACGCAAGTGGCAGAAATGACAATGATCAGCTGACGCATTTTTCTTGGCCGAAGTCAGAGCGCGCGGCCCGACGCACCACGCGTATTTGGAAATTCCGACCTCGACGAGCATCAGAAGCCACCTAACAGGCGTGTTCTAAACCGCAGGAGATGATGATGAACGGGTTTATCGAAACTTGATTGGATGAGCATATCGGTAATAGCGATTTCAGTGTGTGCATTTATTGTTCATAGTGGTGTGAAATGTGGTTGGGGTACGACCGACAACCCGTCGGGGCGAATTTCGCACTGGGGTACTCAAAATTTGAAGAATTTAAGACGTTTCCATGAGTTTTGAAAATATGGATAAGTTCTAAAAATCCGGTTCTCCTTATCTGGGCCATTAACTCCATACGGTCCAAGAAAGCTGGCACACTACCTTTAAGCCGACCACGGGACTTGTGCGGCTTGGACATCAAACGCGACAAGAAATCGGACAGTTTTTCTTGGGCACAGCGTTATGCCTATATGACATTTCAATTAGCATATCTTATGGCAAAAGTCAAGCCACATTTAGGCGCACACCAGGTGACACCAGCTTCGAGCCAGGTCAATGAGCTTAGTCGTATCGAACAGGAGCCACAGCCGCTCGCGGACTGAACTGGCTCACGTTATCCACCGTAGAAGCAAAATGGCGCAAAATGGCGCGATGCCCTTTGGTGGACAAGGTCAGAAGAGATCGGCGATTCGAACGATGTATGATACGACATGTCCTAGAGTGTGCTACTTAACCCGCGCCCTGGTGGGGTCTGTTTATAACGCGACCTGGTGGGGGGGGGGGGCTATTTTTTGCCCCCCTCGTATCTCCGAAACTACTGGACGGATCCGAAAAATTCAAACGGCGTTCGAAAGGCCTGTCAAATTTGTCGAAGGAAACCAAATTTTATTGACCTCGGGGTCACCGATGACGTCACAGGTCAGGTCAAAGATGAAATGTTTCACCGTTCACGGGTCTTCTAGGGAATGCGCTATAACACCGAGGAAAACGCATTTTGTCGGGAATCAACGATAGGGCGTCAGTTGCCTAGTAGATATGTTGCTGTTAGAGGTCACTGGTCATACCAGGTCAGGTCACAGATCAGGTCACCAAAGGTCACCAAGGGTCACCACATGAACCCAACTTTACTAAGGTTATGCGATGCATGTTTTGTGGCCAGTTT